TTTATTGGATTTTTAAGGGATATAGAGAAGCAGTATTTCATGATTCTATATGACCCCACCTAGCCCTCATCATGCATATTATTTTACCCAACTCCTGTACGTAACTTAATTATGCATTTATTTCTCTTCTATGGGTCTGATTTTATTTATTTTTTTTTTGCAAAGTTCTCCTCAAGTAAAGTCCAAGCAGAAAAGTGGAGGATTGTTCATTTTACTGCTTTTGTGAGGCTGTATATAGCAAAGCCCTTAACAACATGAATTTTGGAGGGAAATTGTTGTTCTCAAATCCTGGATCTGCGTTTATTAGCTGTGTGACCTAGGAGCTAGGTTTATGATGAGTAGGGCCTTCTACTTGAGTGCACAATTTAGGGGAGTGACCCCAAAAAAATCAATAATCAAGATACAAATATGAATACGGTATTTTTCAAAATCACAATTTAGGAAAAATCAATGATGAACAAATATTGACATTTTTAAATAAAGGCAAGCTGTTGTTTGTTTTGAGACCTTGCTATGCTGTTCAAGGAACATTATTTTCCAATCAGCCTATGGGTCCTGGGCCTTCATGGCACCCTGTCCCCTACGTGTACATGGATCAGAGTTGACAGAGGAGAATGGATTGAGTAATAACTGGCTTTATGTGGTCATTTTTTAAAGTTTTAATTGAAGAGGTTTGGGTTTTTTGGTTTTTTTTTCTTTTTTTTTAGAGTAAGGGAGAGATGGGAAAAGAGATACCATTTTACACAATAAAGGGGTGAGGCACTAAGTATAACTACTTCCAGAATAGAGTGCAATTGTCTAAAGTGCTCTGAAAAAAATTCTCCATTCTACAAGGTGGCTAGTTGGAGTGCTCATTTAAAGAGGCCCCTCAAGAAATGTTGCTGATAGACTTCATGGCTGCAAGATCTAAAAATTTGTTTCAGGGTGCCCATTCTGGTGTCGCCTAATCAGATGGAGGTGGGCTATAAATGCTGCCAGGCACAATGTCATGATGGAGGAAGAAGAGGTGAAGGGAGGGTGCGGGAGAGGGGAAGGAGGATGGAGGAGGAAAAAAAAAGGGAAATCCATGTTTTCCAATATTCCTATTGGTTATGGAGCTACAGGGTATAATGGATGGGATTCTTTTACATTTTTCTAAAATGCTAACTAAAAGAAAAATATTAAGGCTTTAAAAAAAAAGACCACACTTTTTCAAAGAAAGAAATAAGGAGCTCTCTATATCTGAATTGCTGAAGGACAATGAGGTAAAAGAAAAAATCCTGGGTAGAAGTCTAAAGAAGACTTGAGAGGCCTTAGAAAGACTGTCAGTGAGCTAAGAGGGAAGAAAACATAAGCTCTGCAATCAGATCCCAGTGTTGACAGTCAGCTGGTGATCTTAGCTCTGTTCCTTAATCTTTTACCTCACTGAGAAAAAGGGGATAATGTCCCCCATCTCATGGGGCTGTTGAGAGGATTCCATGAGTCCATGTATATCCCATCACTTAGCTCTCTGCCTTGTCTGGACCACAGAAGATGCTGAATTGACCTGTTAACTCCCTGACATCCTCACCTGTTTTCAACATCCCAGCCACGCCTATTATTTATTTCTATCCCTAATTGCTTCTTATTTTCCAGCCTCTTCCTACAAATATATTCACATCTATTTTATTCTTAATTTTCCTACCTTCTCAAGCTTCCTCCTCAATTCTGACCTAACTTCTTAATGAACTATTATGGACTAAATGTTTGTATCTCCCTCTAATTTCTTATGTTGAGGCCCTACCTCCTAACATGATGGTATTTGAAGGTCAACTGAAGATTTTTTATTAAGTTCTTCCACTTGGTGAACATATGGGAGGGCATTTTCATAAATGCATATAGGGAAACACATTTTTCCTTTTGTTTCAAAATTCATGTCTTGGATATGTTTCCTAACCAAAGTTTTAGTTCCCTCATCTATAAAAAGGATCATTATAGTGCCGACCTCATGGTATTACTGTGAGGTGTAGATAAGGTAACACAACTAAATAACTTAGCACATTCCTATACTCAGTATGTATTAAAAACTAATTTCTAAAGGGTTAATTTTGTGACTCTCCATAATTCCTCTGTTTAGTCCTGCAGATAATGACTACTCCTGAAGTAGCTGGGTGATCATCAGTGAGGCTGGAGGACAGTGAGTTTGTACTAATTGAACACCTACTGAGTGTCAGGATTAGTGTACGTTAGCTAATTCAATCTATATCTATTAAATCATAAGGATTCATCAAAGTTAAAAGTCCCAGGAAGTTTCAGAATATTAATATTAAAAAAATTTGTCAAATTTTTTTCTTTGAAGAACAAGAAAAGAATAAAAAAGACAAGAATAAAGACTCTATTTAAAACCCTCTTATCTGTCTGTTTCCTACAGACCCTAAGATCATCGTTCTCAGGTGGGAGTTGAAGTACACTCGATGACCCCTAAAATCATAGGGTGCATGACGCTTGAGGGCCCTTTCAATCAGCCAATTGCTCATACCTCAATAATCTACACATTATATAAAGGCCTCTGGCCTTCTGGAATTTCTTTTAGGTTTTCATTTCTGATACTCCAGAATGTTTTCTGATTTGTTTTGTGATGGTTTGGTTTTCATTACTGTGTGTTGTCTCTGAGGCTTACTTGTCCCTGGTCCTGGTTCTCTCTGCTTTTTAATGATGTGACTTAAGTAACTTCTTGCTTTGTGTGATGTTTGAGCAAGTTATTTTACCTCAGTTTTTCCAGATTGTTGTAAGGAGTAAATAAGATAAAATTTGAAAGAACTTTGCACAATGCCTAAAACATAGCAGGTACTAAATAAATTTAAGCTATGACTAATAAGAATATAAAATTTTAGTAGTGGTCATAGCATGGTATTGGTATTATTTCTCCCCTTCCCAGCTCGAGAGATTTCACGATTTGCTTACACTAGTTTTTCCACCCCTTCTCCCATGTGTTTCGTGAAAGCAGATATTCACATACAGATTCTTGCCTCGGTCCCCTTATAACTGAGACTCTAAATCGCTCAGAATCTCCAGATGTTGTAGGCCACAGGGCACGCTTTGCAACTGAATCCCCTCTTTCCCAACAAAAGAACAAACCCTCCCAACAGTTAACCCTCTACAACAGTTAACTGCCCAGAAAAACAAAAGAAACAAACAAAAAACTTTGAATAAATTGGGTTTTTGGCTTTTTTTTTTTGGTATATCTTTCTTCCATCAGTTAAACCATCCTGGCTAGTCACACCAAGCTACATAATAAAGGAAAAAGGTGTTTTTCTCTCCAGTCTCCAACCTCAGCCTCTGACTGCGTTCTTCCCCCAACAAAGTGACAGATGAAAATGTTCCAGATGGGCAGTCATTTATTAAGTGACCAAGAAGCATATTGAACTCTAAGATCCTTGCAAACACAGTCCCTGAACAGAAAGCAGCAGCTGTAAAATTCAGCTTCCTGTGCTGAAGGACCTGCAGGGGGAGCCTGCCTCCTTAATTATTGGCCTTCAGATTAGCAGCTGCTGGGTGAAATGCCTTCCACTGTTTTCTGCTGTCACCGCCCAATATTAGGGCTCCTTTTGGAGCCCCTGTCTCCAGAATTTCAGCTCTCTCCCTTGAATTTTCTGTACCTTTCTTCGTTAAGAAGACAGCAGCACAGACTCGTAAGTCCTTTATGTGGGTATAAAGGTATGTATGTTGCTTCTGGAGTAAATGTTAAGCAGGGTATAATTCTCTGCAGACAGTACTGTATATATGAATGTATATGTATATATTATGTATACTTTATATATATGTGTGTATATATATACATATACACACATACACACACACACACACACACACATATATATATATATATATATATATATATATATACATACATACATACATACATATATATGTAAATCTGATGCCATTCTTAGCCATAGTCACTTAAAGACTTGTGTCTTATGTAAGAGTTTCTACTAATTATGTTCTGGAAATATCTATATCAACTATTTAAGAAGTCTATGTTCATGTTTCTGCTGCCAGCCCATACTTGAAGTCTCTCACTCACCTGGCTTCCAAATTTCTTCTACTCTGAATTTGCCTCATTTTCCATCTACAGATTCCAAGTCTCAGATCTTTGTTTTCTTTATTTTATGACTTCTTCCCCATCAGATACACTCCTGTTTGCATTTCTCCACTTTAATTACCTCCATTTCCCCTGGCCCCTGCACATGATGATTCATCTGTTGTTTAAAGTTAGACCAGTGATTCTCAACCCCGGACCTTAAAAAAAATGCCCCACCCTGGGTCTCACCCCAAAACAACTGATTTCAAATCTCCAGAGAAGACACTTATGCATCAGAATGTTTGCAAAGCAACTCAGTTGAGAATACTGAGTGATAATAATGGGGTATGAGGACATAACCCTCCCCTTAGCCTTGTGCCCCTCACTCTCAGGTGCCCAACCTGTACTTACCAGACCCTGAGCATGAGTGCCTGCTTAAATTTTGTGCCCTAGGAGTCTCCTTACCTCATTCTAGCCCTGGCTCTCAGGGGAGCTAAAATTAGATCTTTTCTAAAGTAATGCTGGGAAGAGAGGGTAACCATCATCATCCAGTTCAGGTGACGATTTAATAAACAAAACTTATGCAGATTCCTCAGCACATCTTAGTATTAAGATTTCTGGACTTAAAATGAGAATTATGATCTGACATTAGCCCCCAGTGCTGTGCGCCCCCAAATCCCACCCCAGATATGCAGCTTATAGAGGATTACAAAGGGGAACTTCTAAGCAGAAGAGCAGCAAGTTTCTATTCATGTTAGAAGAGGATGACAGTAGTTTTTAACTGAAAGTCAAGTGCAGTGATACTTTGTCTAGTAACATACTAAATATCTCTTAATTTCAGTTCTTCATTCATAATCTCTATCTTTACAAGATATAAATGAATCATTACATGTGGAATACATAGTCCAGAGCTGACGCAGTTGAGCGCTCATTAACTTCTAACTATTTTTCTCACCAGGAAGATAATGGAACTCAGGAAACACTTATCGCCCAAGATCACTCCATCAGCAATTCCACATTATTTAAGGACAGAGTCAAGCTAGGTACGGACTATGGGCTCTACCTCTCTCCAGTCCAAATCCATGATAATGACCGGAAGTTCTCTTGCCACGCCATAGTCCAGCCTGGAAAAATCTTGAGGAGTTCCACCACGGTCAAGGTTTTTGGTAAGAGTTTTTGTTCTCTGGACTCCTTGCCATCCTCATCAATGTCACCTGCCTTGCTCTCCTCTAGAGAAGAAGCAGCACCCTGTGAGCTGGAGCGCAGCTATGCAAAGGTAGTTATTCTGCAGCTCTGTTTACCTTGATAGTTGTCATTCATGTTGGGTTGGGAATGAAAGTAGGAAGTAAAAGAATTATGATTCAGTTAACAGAATAAAATCATATAGAAAGCCATAAATAAAATCACACAGAAAGCTATAGATTGGTCAATTTCCTGGTGATCATTACCTTATTTACAATTTTGATAGTTCCTAAGAATACTGGAAATCTCTTTAATTATAACTTCCAAAGTCTAATTGCTTAGTTGTCTAATTGTCTTAGTTGCTTCCTGGAGCAAAACAGAGTGAGACCAGTGTGAAAAAAGGGAGATGATAAACAAAGCTCCGAAGAAACTCTGCAGGTATCCCCTCACCTTCACCAAGGCCAACTGTGGTGAAGACTGTCTAGCTCCTCCAGCAAAGGAGCCTGCAGGGATGGGCCTCTGCAGGGTGCAAATTAGGAGGAAAATGTGAAAATTCTATTTTATTCACTAATGCAAGGAAATATTAATTAACAGAAACCCCTAGCTTTAAATATTGTTTTCATCTTTTTGACCAAGAACTATGTGTTTTTTAATGGTATTTTTAAATTAAAACAAAAAGAATAGCAGTGATATAGATGAGCAATTAATTTGTTTTGAAAATTAGATAAACAAAGAGAAAATAACTTCACAAAACTTAAGGTCACAGACTGTTAGATTTTTTTCCTCAGTTCCCTGAATGACAGAACAAGTGAAAAAAAATCTTTGTTTTTACTTTTTACTTAGAATCTTATTGCATTATTATCAGAGGTCACACAATTCAGTATTTGAGAGGTAATCCTGGGAAGCATCAGAAAAGGAAGGACAGGAATATCAGAAGGGAAGGGAGATAATAGAATGTACATGATTGAGCTGAGGGCTTCCAGCTCGATGCCCCAGGGAACTCTGGGAGAACACACATCAGAGTTTTCCCAAATGAAGTCAAGAAAGCTGGGGTATTAGCCACCAACAGATGGGAATCTGTTACGGCCATGAACTCTCTGGGACTTCCAGTTTTCCCTACTTGTGGACTCAATCTGTTCCCATGACCCCAATAAATCCTTAGGAGACAGTCATACGTGTGACCATCAAGAGGCCTCAGCAGGAGAGGCAAATGCCCAGTGGATTTGTAGGCACTGATGGCACCTGCGACAGGGTCTTAATATTTTCTCCACTGGTTCATAGACGGTTTTGTCTGCTATACTCAAGAACTTACTTCAGTTCAACATGTTGTATTCAATGTCTACTTGGTACAGGGGCCCTGTTGAGTGCTAGAGATGGAGAGATGAATAAATAGTCTGGCTCTGAGGTACTTACAATCCATCAGGACAGCAAAGCCCTGAAATAGTCCCCGACATTTTCTAGTAGCAAGTAACAAAACAAGTATCCCATGTTTTTCTGTCCCTTCAGAGGCCTATAAATTATATTGTGTTTCTAGGCCTTTGGACACATAGAATACTTACTCTCTTCTCTCTCCCTACCACCCTCTCCTCCACATTCTCTATTTCACTTGACACCCCGATAATCATCATCCAAGCATCAATTAGATGGCACATCTTTCAAAAGCCTCCTCTGATTCCCCAAGGTTGGGTTAGCAGCTTCTCTTAAAAGCTTTTTCTTCAAATACTACATGTCCTCAATTATGAGACTTATCTCGTGTATTCTAATTTCTAGTTTATGTATCTGTATTTTTCACAAAAATATAAATTCCTTGAGGACAGTGAAGGTTTGTCCACCTTTGGTTCCTAGGCATCAAACATTCTGCCAAACACAGAGTGGGTGTTTTATAAATACTTGATGAATGATGAATCTTTCACATACACATACACTAGTGGCCAGGTAGGATGGTGTTCATGCCACTAACTATGTTTTATTTACCTTTAAGCTAAGCCAGAAATCCCCATGATTGTGGAAAATAACTCCATGGATGTCTTGGGAAAGGTGAGTCACATTAAAGTCTTTGAAAATTTATAGTATAATATGCCAAGGTGTGTCGGGTTGCATCGTTGTCCAGAATGTTTTTTTCAAAGGATATTACTCCTTGGCCTTCAGCCAATTAATTTCTGGTAAGGAAGAAGGAAAGCCGAATTGATTCTAGAAACCTAATGGGAATCCTTCCTTTCCGACTTAAGACTCTCAGAACATGTGATCTGTGACCCTTTCGTCCTTAATTGTCCTGGAAAAAAAATAGTCTCAGTAGTTAAATTTCTCTGTAATAAAAACTGAAGTCGTTAGTAAAGGAAAAAGTAGGGCAGAAAGCAGTGTGAATTCTGGTGAAAGAATGAGTGTTATGCGCAGCTGACATTTAATTTGTTCTAACCCATTTCTTGTACCAGCTTTCTTATTGTTTTTATTTTAAAGTTAACAAGAGGAAGTGTGCCCTTCTGGACTCCTTCAGAACCCTGGCTGTTTCTTAGGCAGTAAGAGAAAGGGCAGGAGAAAAAAGCAAGGAAAACAGAGCCCCCTGACTTCAGTTTCTTTAGGTAGTTCCCAGCCTCCCATTGTTGGGATCTGAGCTCACTTGCCAGCTCTTCTTGCTGACTGTGACCTTGGGCAAATCCTTTCACATCTTTGTAGTCAGCATTCCCACTCACATGAAGGAGATAAGAAGAGTATCTGCACATTATTGTTGTTTTGAAGAATCAAATCAAATAATGTATGAAGAGTTCTTAGTGTATAGTATGGCATACATTAAGTGCCCAATAAACATTATTTTGTTGTTGTTGTTGATATTACTATTGTGTGTGTTAGTCAGTTGTCTTGTGGCATTATGGCTTCATTCAAGTTTTTCAAAACCCCAAGTAAAAGAACTATTCTCATTAACTCTCAAACATTTCCTATTACATGGGGTGAGAGAATATCAGTCATTTAATTTGACAGCTGAATACAATTTATAGCTCAGACTCTGTGGGGTGGTTTTAGATGAGTGTGTATATGCATTATCCAAGTAATCCAAGTATTTGTGTCTTTTGTTGATTTTATGTATTAGTCTTTTAAATAATTGCTATTGTAGTCCTGAGCACATGGAAAAAGATTTTGAAATTTTTGTCCTTCTACAATTCATTTCCAATTTTATCAGTGTACTTTATTTCAATAATTTAAATCAAATAATCTTATGGTACAACATTTGGTAGGTGTTTTTTGTTTCTTATAAGGATTTTCTTATAGGTTCTTGATGCCAAGGTTTATGAGTAATATGGTCTCAATCGAGATATATGGCTATAAGTTTTAACCAAAGAATTCCAGTTTTTTAAGAAAGGCTTTTGTCTTACATGTTATCAAATGCCTCTTTGTTCCCACACTTGCCTAGGTGCTGAGTGGGAAAACCAGAGAACCTCCCTTTTTGGGGAATTAGTGAATAATCTCTCACAAAATCCACATACCAAGCTACAGGACATGACTTGTCCATGAATCTTTTAAGATCTTGCCAAACACTAGTGTAGTGATTCATCACTCTAATATTCTTATAATCCCCATTGTATTTTTAATAACTTATGAACTCTTCAAAGCCCTTTTGCATGTATTTATCATGTGATATTCCCAACAAGCCTCTAAAATAGGTAGGGCATCTGTCATTTTACAGATGAGAAATTGGGGCCTGGAAAGTCTGAACAACTGGCTGAGTGACTAATAAAGGACCAAGCTGGGATGAGAATTTAGCATGCCCATATCCAGGCAGGATTGTATAATGAAAGGAGATCATGCTTCGGGGCAGATAGAACTAATGTCGAATCCTAATGTGACCACTTACTAGCTGCATCTCCTCACCAAGAAATTAACCTCCCATGAGTCTCAGCCATCTCATCTCTAAAACTGGGATCATAATAAATATTTTGCAGGGTTCTTAGGTGAATTAAATTTAATCATGGTAATGAAGTACATGACACATAGTAGATGACTCAAGAATGTTTATTTGCTCCCCACTGTCTATCATTTACGCTCTTTCACCCATTCCTTCCTCTGCATTTATATTCGTAAATCTACTATGTGATTCATTCTAAGAGAGAATGTAGGATAATGAAAAAAACAGAACATAGGTTGTGGAATCGGATAGACCTGGGTCTGAATTCTCCTCCATCAGTTATTAACTCCTGCCCCTGGAATCTCAGTTCCTTAGCATCCTCGTCAGTGGGCGGGAGCAATGATCCCCAACTTCACAAGGGTGATGCACCCATAAAATGAGAGAACATATATAAAGTATCTACCATCTGGCTACCATAAGTGTTAGGCAGTGGTAATTTCCTACCCACTCCCTCCATCACTTAGCATATATTGGATGTCTACTATATGCTGTATATTCGCTACAGCAGCAGCCTCTATTAGAACAATAGGGATTTGGCAAGTTGTGTGTAGTGTTTTCCAGCGTTACTAGTTAGAGTTATAAAGTTTATGATTAATTTAGTTTTCCTGTAAGATAGAAAAGCTCCCATATTACCCTAACAATAATGCCTCTCAGACTTAAACATACCAGGATGTCCAAGGAGAGTGTCACACCTGTGAATTTCATGTTCTTGTGTGTTGCCCAGAGTGAGGCTGCACCAACATGGCACACAGCCTTGCTCGGTAGCTGAGATGGAAATGTGACCTTTAACTTAAACCTCATGATCCCTATCATGTAGCAGATTTTTACATTAGAGGAAAAGATGCTGAGCCAAAGAGTCCCTCAGCCCAGAGCCCCTGGCTTTCTACACCCAACCCTGATGATGCAGCAAATGAAGGCACAAGAGAGATGCATGGAAACCCTAGAGCTGACTCAACAGTTCAGTCTTTCCACAAGGCTTGTGTCTCTCTATTATGCCTGTGCTTTATGCTCATCTCCATGGGCCCTGTCCTTGTAACTCTTTATCGTTATTATGTTGACAAAATTTAAGAAAAAAATATATAAAGAAAACTACTACCTAACATGAAACAGGAAACAAAAGTAGTTGGGTTCCTAAGAAGGAAGAGAGCCTAAAATAGTAACATGTAAAACAGACACCATAATCTAAAAGCACACATAGGAGTTTAGCAGGATAGCTCCAGTAGCTGTTTGCAGAATTTGTTTGTTTATTTAATTTTGGTTTTACAAAACCTGAATCTTTGTGTGTTAAGATTCATTCTTAAGCTCCATTCTGTGTGTGTGTGTGTGTGTGTGTGTGTGTGTGTGTGTGTGTGTGTGTAAGATCAGGTATTGCAGTCTCTTTCTCTTTCCTTCCTTTCTCTCTCTCTCTCTCTCTCTCTCTCTCTCTCTCTCTCTCTCTCTCTCTCTCTCTCTCTCTCTCTCTCTCTCTCTCTTTCTTTCTTTCTTTCTTTGTTTTTTCCTGGCATCTCGTGCCACATTAAGGCTCTGAGTCCACATGTCCAGCCTCGTGGCTGCCAGCTGCCATAATCACTGCTGTGGTGAGTGCCTGAACTTTGACCACAGCTGGAGAGGACAGTCAAAGGGACACCACACCCCAGTTGGTAAACCGCATGGGAAGTGAAATCTTTTATGTCAGGCAGGTTTCTAGGAAAAAAAAAAAAAAAAGATTACAAGACTGCAGCAGCACAGCCTGGGTTTTTCATAAGCCTAGGGCTTGGACTTGTGTTTGTTCCATTATTATGCTAGGATCCTGTTTGCTTTCAGGGAGGTCGGTGTCCATAAGGTACTTGGGCTGTCTACAAGACAATGAGATACTGTCTTTATCTCCTCTTGTCTTCCCTAGCTTTCACGATCCCCTCTTCCCTACTCCCAACCCAGTTAAAAAAGAAAAAAGAAAAAAAAGGTTCTAGAGGCATCATCCCAAAATCCCAAACAGAAGTCAGCTTCTGTGCAAAGGCCAATGTAGTTCTCACTTTGATCTTATTCTTTTCCTGAGTTAACAGTTCAGGCATAGCTTCAGCAGCCCCAGGAATTTTTCTCCTCCTATGGACTGCTAGGCTCCCTTTTTCAAAAAACATTGCTGAATATTTAAAGCTGAAGAGTTAAAAAAAAAAAAAAGTCTGAGAACAACGAATGGATATGCTGTTAGCCCTTCAGACACAGGAATAAAATCTAAAACCTACTGCTTAAATGGACGAATGGTCTGTGTGTTCTATGGGGACAAAACAAAAGCAACTTAACTCATTAAAATTGATCTTAGAACCTAAGAAACTGTTCTTTGTTCTTACCCTCTCCGAGATAAGCATTGTCTCTTTTATCTTTCCAGGGTGAATTTTTTATAGGGAGCTGTCTCTCTTCTCTTATGTTTACATTTTTTCTCTATCCCTTTTTTTTTCTTTTTTACTTTTATGCCTCTATTCTTTATTTCTCCTTATTTACCTCATGTCTCCATCTTTTTCTTTTTCTTTGAGTTTCTTTCATCTCTTCCTCACTAACTCCTTCTCCTTTAACAGACCTTAATATGAAACTAGGTTATATTTTTAAATATTTATGAATCAATTTTCATGTCCTCTATTCTTAATGTGTAATTCAAGTGAACTGAAAAGTCTTTAGTTCTCTTTGTGCTAAGTACGCATTAATTACTTCTGTCTTAAATTGTTTAAAAGACTTACAGAATTCAGACAGGTTATACTGATGGAATAGCTTTAATATAAGCAGATGGTACAACATTGCCGCAGTGGGAGAAAGATACACATTGGAAGGGTCTGGAGATCTCAGGCTCAAGCTTCTTTGTCCTTCCACTGCTGGAACCCACAGAACAAGCTTTGTATCGGGTTTTCAAATTGCCACCAGTAGGCATGCAAACACCCCGGTGTCAGGAAGCCTAAGTTCTGCTCCTGGTGGGGTCTCTTAGAGTAAGCTGGTCACATAGGCGCATCCCAGCTGCCCAGCCAGACTCAACTGTCAAGACCTTCACCTTCACTAAGTGCTAGACATAAATCCCATTATTTTCACTCATCAATGCTGACAGGCTGGTACCTTCTGCCCCCAAAACAACTCACAGACCCATGGTGGCAAAACAGCATTTATCTTTGGTTAGTACATTTTAAAGTTTTGGTCCGTGCAGCCCTATAGATAAGTATTTGGTCAATTCAGACCTGCTGAGATTAACCTATACTATCCATTCTTTCTCTTAAAAAACAAAATCTCACTAAATTGCTTTGCTATATATTTAAGCTGGCACTAAAATGGCTCTTTGCTATGAGTCTAAAGTCAGTATTTTCAGAATAGATTGCTCCAAGCCCTATTTAAACGAAATGGAAGGGGTGGGCTGCCACAGACTGGTCCGTGTTCCTCTGGCAGGCCTCCTTCTCAGCCCTCACCTTCCATTTCATCTCCAGGATGGCCCTTTCCACCTCCTCCAGGGCTCGCTCTCTCCTTTCCACAGCCCTCTCCCGCCATTCCACCACCCTCTCCCTCCTAACAACTTCCTTTTCTCTTTGGCTGGCCCAGGAAGCCAGGGTCCCCACCTGCTCCAGGAGCCTGGCCCAGTCACCCTCAATGCCCACGGGGAGCTGGGGCCCTTGGGGCCTTGGGTCCTGGTGCTGCCCTGCCTGCCCATGGCCACTCTTCTCCAGCTCCTCTCTGTGCATGCTCTTCAGGTGCTTCCATAGGGCTGTGGTGCCCACATTAACCCCGGGGCCACGGCTCACCTGCCTGCCACACAGGCGGCAAGTGGCGTATTGGTTGGGGTGGTGGCCAGCACGAGCAGGGGCCAGGTGAAAATACTCCCACACCTCGGAAAATCGGGTCCCCTTGCCGTGGGGCATTGGGGTGTGTGTGGCACTCACAAAAGGGACAACCAGTTCTCCCGTCTCACCAATCTCCTCCTCCTCCTTCATCTCTAAGTCCCTTTTTGCCTTCATCCTCGTTCTCTCCTCTTCCTCCTCTTCCCGCCTCATCCTATCTCCTCTTCTACAGCTCTCCTTGAGCTAAAAGTTTGAGTTGCACCACAACTGAGGCTCAATGTATATGTGGGAAAGGACTGTGGTAACTCTTGGGAATTTGCAGTAATGGTCAAAGCCTGGCCACACCTGAATGGTGTGATGTTTCTGCCTCCTGCTTCCCTGGAGTCAGGGTGAGTCAGAGCCAAGCAAAACGGCCCCTGAGACTCTCATATATATTCCCCTCCATGCTCCAGATATGTACAGACCCCTCCTTGGCTGGGCCACAGAGACAAAACAAATTAGTGCAACAATTACAAAGCTTTTTAGTGAAGTCAGTGTTCTCTATGTCAGCCACCACCACAGTGTTTTTGAATATTTTCTCTTGATTCTCCTCCCGGTTGCTTCCACTGTCCCAGTTCTCCCAGATACCTGTAAAACGTGTGTGGAGGCAGGAGGGGCAGCCTCAGGGCTCAGGCTGTTTAGGACATCCAGGGCTGGGGCCTCACAGGGTCTTCCTCAGTGTTGGCAGCAGCAAGCATGGACAGATGCTAGTGTGGGAGAGACGCGTGCTTCCTAAGAACTGCTGTAACTGCAGCCCAAAAGCTACAAAGCCTGCCAGGGTCTGGGTAATATGGTTTCTAATGTGAGTCAGTTGTCCCTTAGAGAAGTCCTTCTGGGGCCAGAATTCTAAGAAATCCGAACAGCAAGCTTAGCTGTTTTCAGCAGAAGGAACTGGCATATGCGTTCACAGAGGAAAAAGAGGCGGATCACATCTCCACAGTCTTGGTGTCACCTGGTGGTCCTTCTTCCATGGCACCATCACCTGCAAAGCCAATAGCTGATGAGACCTTCCTGACAGCAGCTTACTCCAGATGTTTGGCTTATTTACCCCATTTTAAGAATAAAAAAATAAATGTAAAATTATATTACATTTTTAAAGCAGCCTTACCTCTGACTCACTTCTTGGGTTATTTTGTAAGAGAATGAGAGCCTTATTCATCAGGCTATGCAGCCCTGAACAGTTAGGAAACACCCTTCAGCCACAGGTGGGTACTTCCAGGCAAGTGAGGCTCTGGTCTTGTCTCTGATGGCTCTGGTGCAGGGTGAGTGCTCCTGTGCCTTAGAAAAGGGCATCTCCAGTTTCTGTTCCCTCCCACTTCCAGGGCAGCCTTCTTTCCAAGTGGGTGTGTCCCTGCCTGTGGGTTTTTCTGCAACTGAACACAAATGCAAATATTTCCTCGCCTCCTCCAGCATCAAAAAGTTGTTCCTAGCAAATGTCATGTAGTAAAACAGCAAATCTAGCACCTGCATGTTTTAGTTCTGTTTCCAGATTACTAGAGTACCTGGCTCTCAAGCAAAGGAGATTTAAAGGTTAAAGTGCAAAATATGGGCAGAGAAACCCCATGCCTCAAGGGCATCTTTGGTTTCAAATATTTTGTTCAGTTGTTCGACCAGGAGTCTTGATTTGGTTTAGAAACTGGACATCATAAATGTAGTAAGTAGAAAGCCAAAGAGCTTGCAGGAAAGGGAAGATTAAGTGAAAGGAAACCCTCAAATTCAAAGAAAGATGGCAAACTGAGAAACAAATTTGGGGTTGCTTGTTATTATGTAACTAGAGTTGGAAAAACTGAACCACTATTGGCTTCTATGCTCAATTGGAGTAAATATAGGGATAATCATAACTTAAGAAAAAATGTATTTCCATACATATTATAAATAAATGAGTGTGTGTGTGTGTGTGTGTGTGTGAATTTAAGAAAGAAAACATGTCAAGAGGAGACAGAAAAGTTTTAAAGAAGGTGTCCTTGGAAGAAACAACCTTGAGTTATAGGAGAAAAGATAAAAATGGCAGAGTAAAAACATGTAGAGACTAAAAGTTAAATTTCAAATAGAAACAAAAGGTGGGGTGGGGAGGAAAGACCCCAAATAGGAATGAAGAGTTGGTAGACTGTTACGGAACTCAAGGGGTTCATTTGCCTGTGCACATCTAAGCCCAATGTCACGTGATCAGGAGTTTGCAGCAAAGAAAGTAGAGGTTCATTTAAGGACATGGCACCAAGCCTGGAGACACAAGTGAGCTAGTGCTCTTAAGACCTGACTCCTCAGTGACCTCTAGGGGACAGGTTATGTAAGGGGAAAATCATTTGTCATGGTAGTGTGGGGTCCTGGGTTCCATTGATTGGTTGGAACTAATGTAGGAGGAAGTTGATCATTGCATCAGGTCCTGACATCAGTCATGGGGCCCTCCTGTCTAGTTTCAAAGGGATGGAACCTATAAAGTGGTTCCGCCTTCATGGGTCTGGAGCCGAAACACAGCTGAAGTCAAGATGTTGTATCTTTAGTTTGACCGAAACTCTGCTTCTGTGATCAACAGACCTGAGGTTTTGTTCCCAGAATGTTTGATGCTGACCAGAATCTGATGCCCTAAGGGCTGAATGATTAAGGGAGTAAACATGCAGTATATGCAAAGGAGGAAGGATAAGGAAAGAAAAGAAGCAAGTGGGTCATGGTGCTATTAGACTAGACAAGGCCAGTTGGAATCAAGAAGAAAGAAAAGAGAAAAAGTCATGTTAAAGAAGTGAAGTTTTTGCATGGCGACAAAACAAATAGAGAAACTTTAAAAAAAATTTCTCTTTCTAGACTGAAAAGTTAAATGTTTTCAAAATGATTCCATGAAAAGCCCTTTGGAGAAGGTTCTGGCCAAATTTAGGCAAACTGCATGTGGGGTATCTGACAAATGGTCACCATTTCAGTATTTTATCTGTAGGAATAAGGAAATGATCACCCTCACAGCCAGGTTGAGATCCATTTTCTTAACTCATCAATCTCTCCATGCTCCAACCATCCACTGGCTTCCCTCTGCTTCCAGGACAACATCCCCAACTCACACGTGACCTGGGAACCCATTCCACCTGTCCATCTTTGTGAATTCCCCATTACTTTCCAACACAGACCACCTGTATAGTCCAGGCCCATCTCTTCCCTGTCCACAAAATACAACTCTGTTCTCTAAGTTAATCCCAGATCTCACTCTTCCCTGAACTCCTACAGAACTGCTCAAATACTTTTTGGCACCTATTACATAATTCTTTGTGCGATTGCTCCCTTATTCCATATGTACTTAGAATAATGTGTTGGAGAAACCAATTATTTGGTTTGTCTTACAGATGCAACTGGCACACAATGAGTGAGTGAATGATTTTACTTCTGGGCAGAGGAACACGTGTGTGTGTGTGTGTGTGTGTGTGTGTGTGTGTGTGTGTGTGTGTGCGCGCGTGCTTGTATGTGTGCACATAGAGTTTTGTGCACATTTACTTAATTGTTTTTGTTTATTTTACAATTTAATGTGTTTTTTTTTTACTCATTTGAACAAAGTAGAAATTCCCAAATAAAGACAGTTCTGCTTGCTCAGCAAAACTGTATACGCTGACTTGATGTTTTATAAGATGTTTAACTTCAACTTGAACTAGCTTAGTCCGCAGCTTTTCAATTTTTGAGACAGCTTTTCAGGACAAGAACCATATTACTAAGCAAAGTCTTGGAACACAGTCTAGAGATGAGTAGAATATTGCAAGTCTGAATCATTCCATAAAATCTGAATCAAAGAATCCACGACAGTTAAATCTTTTAAACATTTTTATTAAGTTAACAGGAAATTTCTTCAGTGAGCCACTTGCCTTTGTGAAATAGTGGAAACTCCACTTGTTACTGATATTACCACATCATCATCTTTTTGAGTTAACTGAGCATGGAGGAAATGAATCTTAAGAATAATTAAAGGTATTGACATTAATACAAAACTTTACACCTTTTTTTTAACATTTTATATTCTATAATTCTTACATCTTTCATGGACTACCTGGAGATAAACATCAATCCTTGGCATTTTATTGAATTAAATAAGCCAAATTCTTTTTCTTTTTTTTTTGCTTAATTAGAATATACTTTACGGGGCCTGCTTTCACTTTTGATATTCTAGGACAGAAAGTAATGTACTTTCATGGGTCTGCATTCCTGTCATATGCATGTAGCCCCACTGTCAAGTGTTGAATGAGTGGAAAAACTGGGAGCTCCATTAGTTGCTACTGACAATCTTGGATACGACAGATGGCTTCCTCTGAAAGTCTCATTATTTCCTGGAGATTTTTGTAGAGACATACTGAAGGACATTAAGCAGCACCTCAGTGGTATCTACCCAAAGAAATGTAACTTAGTATGCTTAAGTTTGGTTTCTCAGCTTCATAGGTCCAGACTCTTTGGGAGTAGCTAGTCTGTGGGGAAATTGGTACACCCAGTATCACATACACTTAATTGTTCTTCATTAGTTAATTAGCATATTCATCAATTGTGGAAAGTATTTCAGAACTAAAGACAAGGACTGGTAATATGTAAAATACACATAACTATAAATGGGATTATAATTATTATAACTATAAATACAAGTAACTATAAATGGGATTATAATTTTGTAGTATCTCAGATAAAATTATAAGGATCCAATAAGTCTTACTGGATATTTTCACCAGGCTGTTGAAGAAATCACCATCTCACAAAGAGAAAGCGCAGTGTTGGAAATAAAACATAACTAACCCTATCTCTAAGCTTTCTGGTTTTATAACATAAGCTATCTGTTCTCCTATTGCTTTCTTATTTCAATACAATATGTTTTACCAGGAAATATCTTTGACTTGGATTGAGGTAGCGTAGTTCCCACTTGTGCCATCAATTACATTCCTCTCCCTTTAACCATTCTGTGATTCTGTGCCTTGGTTTCCCCATCTGTCAAATGCCAATAATAAAGTGTGTCCTACCTACCCTATGGGATTGTTAAGATGATAAAATGAAAAATGAATTAGGAAAACCCATTACAAGTCAAAAATGAGATATTTCTGTTAAGTGGTCTGTGATTATTGTTACAAATAGTACTTTACATTATTTGGGGAATGGAAACAAGCAACGTGCGGTTCTCTTTTAGCTCTTAGTATAACAGAATATTATTCTCTGGTCTGTACCTATTATAGCTTCTTCCTTCTACCTCTTGGTTTCCATTTATTACTATTTTATTCTGCCAACATAGAGTTGTAGTTTTTTTGGTTTTTCAGACCCAGAATTCAGACTTGCAATAATATAATCCTAGATTCTTCTCAAGTTGACCTAGGATTCTAGCCATTATTTTATAACATGTTTATAAGAGAAAGTCTATTTATAGTTCACATTTTCAAACATCCTCTTAAAGGTAAACACTGCCTTGTTAAAAGTGGAGAAAATAGTCACCTGCCAATTTGCCAATTGTGGAGATGTAAGGGGCGCCGGTTTCTTCTGAATCTGCCAATAATCCTTTGTATGTCCTGTCTTTACTCCCAGAAAATATTTACCTGCTCACTGAAGAATGTATTTCCCACAGCAAATCTCACATGGATTACAGACGACGGAAGTGAAAGAAAAGGTAAGGAAATCACTCAATGGAAATGGGTTTGGCAAACAAACAAAAAAACCCCACAAAGAACAATAGAAATTGCCATTGCCTAAGTTGATCTTGGCATTAAGAACAACCCTCATTCCAAGAAAAACATCATCTTGCCTACCAGATGCCACTTTCTGATATCTCATCTGACTTCTCCAGTGGGATCAGGTGAGAGGGGTGGGTGGGCATGTGAAGGGTGGAATTGTGATAGCATTTCCCTGAATGTAGGAAATAGAGTTGACTTCATCAACTCACGTATAAACACTAATGTTTTATCTGACTTGTAGTAAAAGCAAATCTCTTATATGAGGGCAAAGAGGTTTAATTCAACATACATTTATTAATCTTTTCATTTAGTCGAATTAACTTAGTACTGCTGCTTAAAGTCAATAAACAAATGATTGCTACATTTTCTTGTAAGGATCTGGGTGGAGTGAGGGTGGGGAGTACTAGAGGAAGTGTCCATAAAGAACTTGGCTTCATGACAAGGAACATGTTCGCCAGGAGGATTAGAAGTTCCTGGAGCAGGAACACACACTGAGACAAGCTCAGGTGAGAATGCTCAAAGCCATGCTTTTCATAGGTGATAAACATGACAGGCTCTCCCAGAAGAATCCCAGCCATCTCCTGCCTGGGACAACAGCCCTTCGCTTTTCTCCTGAGTCATGTTTTCCTCTAAGTGCAATATATTTTCAATTAAAGCTGAGTTATATAGCTCTTGCTGCATTATTAGTTTTAATTGATAAAGTTAAAAGTTTATGTTGATGGATGATTGTATTGATTTACTTGATTCACTTTGAGACTATTATTGGTTTTGTTATTTTCACTTTAAAAACATTTTATCTATAATAATGACAGGATGAAATCCTGAAAATACCTGTTAAAGGTCCTCATAGTTATGCCCTCCTGATAAATAAGCCCTGATCTGATGTGCCCCTTACCCTCCCAGCCATGGGACCAGACAGTGTGGGCAGAATTCTACCAGCACACAACTGCAATTAGTTAGGACTTTGGCAGGTAATAGTTTCAGAGATAACACATTTAGAACCTTTAATGTAAAGAAGTTGTGAGGGTTTAGAAAATGATGGCCTATGATGACAGATGGTTTCACATTAAATTCCTACTGCCATGTATGCTATTTAGAAGTTCTAACAGTAGAGGTTAAACAGAGTTCTATTTCTAAAGAAGACTCACAGGACCCAAAATGACCATGGTTATAAATCTACAGCTTATTTCAAGTAAAGGATATAATACGGCAATTCCATTAAAGTAAGGTTATGCATCACATGTACATTTACAGCAAGGTGTCCAGAGAAGTCAGGCATGACTTCTCTGTCGTCCCTCTGTAAGGGGGATCTGTGGAAGGAGGAACCACCGATATGGCACAGAACACCACAGGAGTGGGGAGTCCAAAATGGAGTCTTGGCTGAGGTGGTTTTGTATTTTACTGGTCACTTAGGCATATTCCTGCTGTGTACCCAGACCCAACAGCAGAGCCCTCCCAGATTCTCACCCAGGCCAGGTACAATTCATCGATCTCACAGTTATCAATAAACAATGCTGGCGAGCTGGGACAACCTGCCCCCAAACCCCCTGGATCCATGGTCACAAACAAAGCACCACTATTCATCAGTACATTTCACATCTTGACCATGGATCAGTGCCACGCAGGAACTTGAGCAAAACAGTTTTGGTTTATTCCAGGCCCGCCGGAACAAACCCTCACGGCACAGAAGCTGCGGTTTGACCCTTTAGACTCTGTAAATCGAACCATCTCCTGCCAGGCCTTGGCATTACTGTGTGACTCATACAGAAAATGTTGGTGGGTGACCTTGTTCTTATCTGTCTTGCAGAAATATACATTACTAATAAAGTGAGAAAAGACAAAGATGGATTTTTGAAACTGAAGTCTGTTTTGAAAATGGTGAATGGCAATAAACTGGCCCAGTCAAACAACCTGACCATCTGGTGTATGGCTGTGTTTCCAGTCCCCGGACATAAAGAGTTGAATATCTCATCCCAGAAGATCACGTTTCCCCTGGGTAAGTTGTCTATTTAATAAGGTCAACAAGAGGTGGTCAAGACTGCCATAAGTTTAGAACACTTCTAATTGGAACAAATAGAAAGCTTACTATTTCCACAATATTTTAATCTCAGAAAACTCTCTCTACACAACTCGAAATGATTGCATTTCAAAGTAGCAAGCATTTTTTGACAAATGGGGCTCTACTGAAAAGAATTTCTTTATATAAGAAGTAGCCGATTCCTGTTTTCAAAAATTTTTTGAAATACAGCAAAATTTTTATCAACTCTATTAATAATGACTTAAATTAATTAGCATTTTGTAAATCTACCATATAAATAAAATTAACTCTAATATATTAATGATCAAGAGAGGTTTTTAAAATCCTAAAATCTCTTCTGAGTCACTAAGAACATTCAATTATGTATAGCATATATACTTAGGAATGGATAGACCATGGGTGACATATAAATGCCTTAAGGACAGGGACTGTATCTTAATGATTTTTGTACCTGTAGTTTGAAGTGCAGAATCTGGCACCTATGATTTAATGACTTGAATCTGGTACCTAAGATTCAATGACTTGAAAATTGATATGTAGGATCATTTTACTTATTCCAACATTTGATAACCAGAATATTCACTACTTTGAACCAGATCAAATAATGTAGATTTTACTACATAAAAGATGTGAACAAATGTTTCAACAAATGTGACAACAGATTGCCTATAAAAAAATAGAAGTTGGTAATGACAACTGTCCAATATGCATGTGTAACAGTAAAGTAATACCTATAAAGATTAAACACATTTGCAAGTCATCATTAAACTCTGCAGGACTATTAACATCTTTTACCACCTCTCTGTTTGCAGAAATATTGTAGTCTATAACATACTCATAAAAACCAGAATAACTTATGAGAGAAAGAGTTTCCCTTTGTTTCAAGGCCACAGTCTTCATCTTGGGTCCTTCCCAGCTCTGTCACTGCAGGCACTTGGTTCTTGGGACCCTTGGATGGAGAAAGGCATACAGTTCAGTGCAAATCCATTCACCTCTGTTCAGAAGCAGGTGCCAATCTAATACTAAGACAGTGGCACCATCCCTGTAACTCTGCATATTCTCTCTCTCTCTCTCTCTCTCTCTCTCTCTCTCTATATATATATA